TGCATTGTATGAGAGTCTTATAAAAATTATTAATAAAGTTTTCTCCCATATCGGTCCATAAAACACCTGTGATCTATCCTCTTATGGAAATCAACATAAACTTTAAAACGTCGAATTTTTCGTTGTATACTGATTTTTCACCCGGCAATATAATGTCTCTATACATTATTTTGAACGAGAGTCACCCACGCACAACTATTTTAAACGAACGTGTTCGGAATGAAGCCTTTTGGATTTTTTGAATGAAAGCGATAAAGAGCCATTCCAATTTAAAATAGATTAATAGATTTATATCATCGGGAATATTATCAAACATGAGGAAGGGAAGAGGAAGGATAAAGAACAATTTCTTAAAGATAGATATATAAAAAGGCAAGTTAAAAAAAAAAACTTTTTTTGTTGGAAATATATAAAGTAGCGTGGCAAGGAATCAACTCGTTTTTTTGCCATTCAAGTCAATTCGTCGACCCATTGCTGGTCCCATTGGGGCACCAGACAATCAATTCGTTTGCCTGATGTTCAAGTCAATTCGTCGACCCATTGCTGGTCCCATTGGGGCATCAGACAATCAATTCGTTTGCCTGATGTTCAAGTCAATTCGTCGACCTGATGGGAAAAGGAATCAAATAAGAATTAACAAGTTACAGCAGTTCGTCTCTTTTTAATGATTTATTTCGTGTTAAGCTTATAAAGATTTATGTGTGCTTTTCCTAATTCACTTTTGCATAGAAATTGTTTGAATATTCATATTATCGTCCTCATTCTTATCTATTATTATAATTTTAGCAAAAAGGATATGCTAATCACGATATTTACTAACTTTAATACCTAGCTTGATATACCATAACTTTAGTTTGTGTGATAAATGAACGAAAACATTTGTAACAATGGTCTAAAAATAAAATTTTTTAATTGATAATTTTTTAAACAAAATTTTTTTTACTGAATAAAATTTTCTTTTTATATATCTCTATGAACCCCAGATTTTTGGTCTGGTGATCGATCGATCAATATTTTTTATACGTAACGCGAGATCCAGCAGGCTCGTTGTCTAATAATACTCGCCAAAAGAAGTTACGCTATGAAAAAGATGAGGATAAAAAAGAATTAGAGCGTTTCGCAATGGTATAAAGTATATGGCAGCTTAATGCTTAAATGGAAAACTTTACTGGTGTTCTAAAGATCATTGCGAATTTTAGAGGTCTAATGAACTTCGCTTAATGGCTGAACGAGAAGCAAAAGTGCAACAACCACTAGAAACTGACATTCAAGAAGAGGTGTCCTTTACTATTGAAGAGTTTGAAGAAGGTATTATAATGATTTTTATAGTTGACTATAAAGTAATTATTATTAACTTAAGCTTGGATAATTCCCTGACAAATAAGAAAATTTTTAACAAATTAAAAGCAGCTACCAAATCTGCACCTTTACCTTATGTTAATCTTGATTGTCTAAAAAAGTGGATCAAAGAAAATTACACAGTAAGGAATGGTTGTGTTTGTTTTTGTGTTTGCTTAACTTTGATTTATTAATTTTTTAACTGTTAAATTTAACATTTAGCATAAAATTGAGACTACATTATCAAATTTGCGAGCAACAATGGAAATAGAAAGATTGGATTTGGAGCAATTTAACTTTGTAAGGTAAGTGCTTGAAATCAAACTCATGCAATTGCAAGCTAAACATGGAGAAAAACTCGATTCATTAATGGATGAGAAAACATATATATCAACAATCATGTCTTCTGATTTTGAGATTTTGAAGTTTTGTTTCATATTTGTTTATTAACAAATGGTAAATCAAAAATAGAATAAAAGCAAAAATTTCATATTGATTATGAATCTAACTAGACTTTCTTGAGCAGGAATAAAAAGGAATTTTTTTTATTAAAGTGGCATCACGAATTAGTTTTTCATACCTATTCTTCTACACATAAAACAGATAGTATTCTTTTCAATTATGATCATGTTAATCAGGAATTCCTACTTGTTGAGAACATTGGCCTGCCCTCAAAGACACTAGAACCCAAATACTATAAGAATCTCTTAAAGAGCTTATGAAATTCTGTAGATGCGATTTATAAAACATTCTGAAAAAGCAAAAATGAAGATACAACAATAGCATCAAAATATTACATGTTGGCATATTTTGTACATAGTAAGTTTTTCAATGATCATTTCTACTTTGCTATGATCTATTGAAATTCTTTGCACTATTGACGAAGTTCTATACATGCAGAACATAAAGGTGAACTTTATAGAGTAAATTTGAATACAATATTTCCTAATATAGATTACCTTAGAACTTATCTGATGATTGTAGTACCATACATTTCACTTGCTACTTTATATGTTTGACTGATTTATGCAATAATAGATTTTATATAAACTCCTAAATCCCACTTTTTTTGCAAATTTTTTCTTTTTTCTGAAACTGGTATAATTGTTAACCTATATTGTCATACAATATTTATTTTAAAATCAAATATCAACTTCAATTATTATTCCTAGTGTCAAAGATGTGGAAGAATACGATATAGAAGAACTTATCGCTTATTTACGAACAAAGTTCTCAAATCTTAGTGAGGACTTCATTAAGCTTCATGATCAGAATATTGATGGTTAATCCTTTGTTAATATGAACCAAAATGAGTTTACAGAGTCTTCCTTTAACTTTGGTTATGGAAAAGTTAAAAATCTTGGTATTTTGATCAATAGGTTGAATGATCAAAGTAAGTTAGTTCTATCATAAATGTTTAAACATTTGTATGTCTCAAAGGACTTATTTATTTACTCAACTAATGTCATTCTATAGGCTCTTTACTCTTAGAGAAGTCTTATTGTGTATTCTATCACAAATTAAATATGATCTAAAAGTTATTACGAGATGCTTTAATATGAAAATATTTGAGGTTTTGCCAAAATTGCATTTATATAATAACTTTTTCGAAGATGTGAATCAGTTTAACTTTAATAATCAATCGAGATTTCAAATATCATAATTTCAAAACAATGTGATAGTTAACAAAGAGGATATTTGAAAAACTTTTAATGATAATTTTGTAAAGTATTAAATAAACTTTTAGAGGATTATAACTTTTCGAGATTGCCAATTCCTACTCCTAATATATTTGACTTTACTAGTTACTATGCAATAAGTGAATTGGTCTTAGTGATTAAAATAAAGAGGAAATACATCATAAAGGATTTGAATAACAAAACATATATACAATATTGTAAATTAAATAAAATCGTAAAATCAGTACTCAAACAGATTAATTTCTATATCAGAAACAATAAGCTTAAATACGGTATGCTCTCAACTTATGAAGAGCATTGGTTTCTGTTTAGACTAACGTAAGATGAACTTTGGATTTCAAAAACACTTTCAACATCATTTCAAGATCCTCCAGTACTAAAAGCATACGCTTATATAGCTTTTCTAGTGAGAAGAAATTACCTTACTTTAACCCTAATATAATTCAAATGCTAACCGCATTTGGGACTTTTGATGATAATCTAAGATACATCAATTGTAATCTGAGATAAGAATTGATCTGAGACATAATATATATAAACAATAAATTCAAAAAATGTAAAATTATACATACAGTTTAAATCAATCAAATTCTTTATTATATTTTTTCATAAAAAAATATATGAGAAAGAGTTGACCAGCTAAGCAAAAATGAATTGTAAAATTGATATAGAAGCAGGATTTAAAGGGAAAAAATTTTCTGAGTCCTAATACATATGATAGCAGTTCTTTTTCCATTATCTAGTATTATAATATCTAAACTACTAGTAAATTTTTTATTATCTATACATCTTATATTAATTTTATTATTCTAAACTTTAGATCCCTTTATGCTATAATAAAAGTTTTTACAGTTTTTTTTCCAATTCTTTTTTTTAAATTGATAAATTTTACATCTAATAATTTTAAATATATAATTTAAACTATCTCTTTTCTTATTCAAATTAAAAACTTGTTTAAAATGACTTCTATTTTCTTTAAAAAATGAATCAGATAATCAATTAAAAGAATTTTTACTAATAAAAATAAAACTTAAAGTCTCAGATTAATTAATTAAATTTGATTTAAAGTCTTTAAACAATTGCATAATATTGAATCATTTTATTTTAGAAAATTTTGATAATGATATTAAATTCAAATGTAATTCTGTCAAATTCATTATTATACATTTCTTTAAACTATTAAGTTTTGTAATTACATTATTATTTATTGAAAAATTTTTTTGCATTTCAAGGGTGTAGCTAGTATTACATATATTAAGTTTGATATTAATTTTACCAAATTTTACATTAACTTCTTTATTAAGTTTATTATTAAATTTATTATAATTCTAAAATTAACTTTATAAAATATAAAAAGCTTGTTAGTAATTTTAGTATTAACTTTTACAATGAATTTTCTGTAAATATCAGAATAATTCTTTTGATTTTACAGTCATAATTCTATCACATATCTTTTTTTTTAATTTTTACTATAAGTTTATTATTAATTTCATATATATATATATAAAATACTCATTAATAATTTTATTTTTACATATAGGAAGATCATTGAAGAATTTTTTTCTGATAATATAAATTAAAAAATATATATTAACAAAAAATAAAAATATAAATTCTTTAAAAATGTATCACAAAGTATTATTTTATAAAATAAGTATAAATATAATTTTAGAGTGAAGTAGAAAAAATTATTTTCAGTTATGTTAAATCATAAATAGTTTTATATAATTTTTACAATTTATTAGTATGATTTTAGTATGATTTATTACTAATAAAATTAAGATAAATCTATTTTTCTTTTTATATTTTTATAGTCAGTTCTATAGTAAGGATCTTAAAAAGAATCATACATTTAATATTAATATAATTAGAAGTGAAAATTCATGTCAAAATATAGGCTTAAAATAATTTTTAAAAATAATATCATATTTATATCCTTATTTCTAAAAAAAGAAATATTAAGATTTAATTTTAACATCATATCTAAAGATAAAAAAATTAACACATTTTTGTAATTTTATATCTTTACAATATGAAAAACAATTAGTAAAAAAGAAAAAAATCCACTTTTTAGTTAAAAAATTTTTTATTAGTTTACTTTGCTAATCATGATTATATGAATAAAACTAGTTTAATAACTAAAATTACTTAAATTTGTAAATTTTTCTCTTTTTTATTAATTGCTTCCTATATAAAGATGGCGTTTCAATTAGTTGTAACAGGTGACAAATAAGCATCACAATATTGTAACAAATTGTAATATTATTAAAATTTAAGTTACAACAGGTGACAAATAAGTATTACAATGTTGCAACGCCATCTTTATTCCTATATATTTAAGTAATAAATAATAATAATATATTTTTTTCATAAATGTTAGGCCTAAAAATGTCTACCAAAACTTTCTCAAAATAATTTTATCATACCCTTTCTATATTTTTAATATAGTTTTAACAGTTTTAGCTTTTATCATATTGAAAGTGTTTCATCATATCTCTTATTATAATTTAATATAGTTTTATCTAAGTTCTGATTGTTATTAAGAGATTTTGTCCTTTATCTATAATTAGACCATAAGATACTTCATATAAGAAAAAAATTTTTTAGTTTAATTTTATAAAGTATATGAATAAATTATATTATAGAGTATATTTACAAAATATCTTTATTCCTATTTCACTTATTTTATTTATATTTAGAAAAGAAACTAAAATAATTGTAAAATAATATTTACTTTAATAAATTACTTTATACAGTGGTTACTAAAAGAAATGCAAGTATGATTGGTTACCTTTGAACGGTTATAACTTATCAACTACAAATGCTAGAAATATGATCTTGTACTTATTTTAAAGTCCAAATCTTGAAGGATATCCTGGTGAAATCTAGTATTAAGTTAATAATTCCAATTTTGAGTAACTTAGTGATATACATCAAAATTTATTACATAGTAAAGTTCAGGCATAGAAAAATTTTTTAAGCATACTAGCTACCACAAAACTGATACTGGCGATTCCAATAAGCTAAATTTCGTGGGAATCGGACCAGCCGATCAGGAATTATCGCGCAGCAAAAATCAGCAAATTATTATATAAAAGTGGTTCAGCTACTTTTTTTATAATAATTTGCCGATCTTTGCTGCGCGATAATTCCTGATCGGCTGGTCCGATTTCAACGAAATTTAGCTTGTTGGAATCGCCGCACTGAGGAGAATCGGAATCCAATGTCAGTTTTGTGGTAGCTAGTATGCTTAAAAATTTTCTACACCCAAACTTTACTATGTAATAAATTTTGATGTAGATCGTTAGGTTACACAAAATTGTTTTCATTAACTTGATATTAAATTTCGCCAGAATATCCTTCAAGATTTGGGCTTTAAAACAAGTATAAGATCATATTTCTAGCATTTGTGGTTGATGAGTTATAGCCGTTCAAAGGTGGCCAATTACACTTGCATTTCTTTTGGTAGCTACTGTATTTATTTTTAATATTTATAAATAATAATATATATATATATAAGCAATTAAAAATAAGTATTATAATTAATAATACAGAGGGTCACTAAAAGTCTCTGAACGCTTTTTGGCTTAATAAATCATTTAAAATTTTAAAATTTAATTAAATAATTTATTAAATATTTATTAAAAATGATATATAAATAAATTTCATACTAATTAATCAGTATTTGATCAGGCTTCCATTTACTTCAATAATAGCCCAAATTCATTGTAATATACTATCGACCAAATTTTTGATAGTATGTATTGAAATTTCTCTTCATAACTTTTTAATATGCCGCTCTAATTCAGCAATGTTAAAAGACATTTTTTTATCACAGATGCTTTCCTTGACATCAGCCTACAGATTTTTGATTGGGCTGATGTCTAAATTTGAGCGAGCTATAAAAGAACGTACATATTATTTTCTGCATGAAAATTCTCCTGCTTCATATTGTAAGGCTGAGAATTATCCTTCTGAAAACTACCATTACCATTTTGAAATACATTTTTAAAGTACAATTCATATAAACAAGATTTGAAATGTTATATGACTGCAAAATTGCTAAGTCATATAAAATTATTGATATTGAATCGCATTTAAAAAGTGGTGTTCAGAGATTTTTAGCAATCCTCTGTAAAATAAAATTAACAGAAATAAATATTATTTGTGATATATATATAATTCAAATTATTTTATAAATAGTAAAAGCTAAAAGTATATATTTTTTATTATTTTATATTATTTATTACTTAAATATATAATTTATAATATAGAGCTTTTACAATATAAAGAAGAGAAACTGCTAAAAAAAATTAATTTACTTTTATATATCAAATATATTTTTAAATCAAAATATATTTAGATTTAACATTAATTCATTTTTATTTTTTTAATTTTCTATTATAAGGTTTTATATATACATAGAATAAAAGTATTTGAACAATTATAATATTATACAAATTTAACTATTTATTATTGATTTTTAATTAACAATAGTATGCTCTATTTTAACTAAATTCATTATGATTTTGTTCTTTTAAATAAAAAAAATTTTTGTAAGTAATTATTTCAATACATAAAATATCA